CCAGCTGACACTGTGGGCAACCAACTGTCAGAGTCACATCCCCCCCCCCCCCAGCAGCCCAGACACAAACTGGCACAGGGGCAGTGTGGCAGGGGGCTTATCCAGCTCCTTTCCACTGCTCTCTATGGCTGTAGTGTTTCTGAATCTTTCAGTGAAGGGACCCTAATCCTGGTCCTGCTGGGTTTCTGTCTCTCTAAAGCAGAGAAGCTGTTAAACCTGGTCCAGCTAAGCCAGTGCTGAGCTGATCCAGTACAACAGGACAGAATTACTATAGAGACACCAGCCCTCCAGGTCTCATGCCCCAGCAAGGAAGGGTGGTGGTGAAGAAATAGTGGGATCTGGGGGTGTTGGGAACATGTGGGGTTGCCAGGAACTAAGACCCCCCCTTTGTAAGGCTATGCTATCATCATGTTACCTGAAGCGCTGGACCTCCTAGCCAGATTGAAAATGCTCCCAAGCACTTCTCCTGCATATACAATCAGGCTGGTGTCTGAGTGAGGTTTAATGCGCGCACCTCCTCGACACAGCCTGACTGGAGAGCAGAAACTCCAGTGCGTCTGTAAGAATAACGTCCCCAGCTGAAGAGGGAAAACAATCAGAACTGCTTGTAACTATTGCACTGTGTTTCTCTTTCTGCTGCTTGTGGATTGGTGGCTTTCAGGGCTCTCCAGCAGGGAAGGCTGATCCCCCCACATCTGAGTGAAATCGAACCTGCATTCCATGTGCAAAGGAAGGATTTCTGTTAACGTTTTTTTTTTTAATCCTGCCCTCCCCCAGGAGCGTAGGCTCCGAGATTTAAATATTGTTTGGACTGCTTGTAAAAATAGGTTCCCGACCGCAGCAGGCTGGCGATAGCGCCGTGTTGCAAGGGATTGCATCAGTGGAGTCTGTGCAGGGCTCTTATCACCTCCCACAATGGGCATGACTTGATTCCGGTTTGGCTAGGGAGAAGGATGGAGGGAGCAGGTGTAAGGATGGGTTGGAATGAGCAGCTGCTTTTCCATTCATGCCTCTTAAAAATACCGCGGCCTGCCGGAGCTCTCTTACACAGAGAGAGAGGCCACAGAGTCCAGGTTTGGGATGGCCAGCGGGTCTCTGGGTTTTCTAGGTCACTTCAGAGCAGCAGGTCTTGCAGAGGTGGGAGAGGCTGTTGCATGGCTCCCACTGGCCTTCAGAGCCGAGCTGGAATGAAAACCTGCACTGGCTCTCCCAGGACCCGGATCGCACGTGAGGATGAGGATGAGATGAGAGTCGGCTAGACCTGCCAGCTGCCTCCTGCAGCGATGACCTCAACAACCACAGGAGCCCATGATTTCCCTCCCACCTGTGACCTGTAATTCTTTAATTCAACCAATTGTCTGAATAAGACATTGACTTGTCCCCTATTTGTCTTGGCCAAATTTAACCCCTGGCCTTTACCATTTCTGGGAACAATTATTATTATTATTATTATTATTATTATTATTATTATTATTATTATGTCTTCCCCAGTTACTACTTAAAAAGCACCTAGAAAACCCGCAGGACTCCATTGCTTTCCATTCCTGGCCTGCTGTTAGGAAAAGACTGGAATTCTACACTGTGCACCAGATGCACCAGACAGGTCTGCAACTCCATTCCACAGTATCTGGAATCCAGCTGGGTTTTACGTGTCTCCTTAAGCTGAATCCAGTCCTTCTGCAGGGAGGTGTGTGAATCCATGTCAGGTTTTACTTGACCCATGTCTCCTTTCTCCACAGCCTCCAGCTACTGAAGACCATAAAACACCTGCTGGATTGTGGATGCTGAGGGCTGGACTGAAGACGTCCTGGAGAAGGTCTGCTGAAGTCCATGCAGTCACACCAGGGGTTTTCAATCCTGGGTCTGGAGTCTGGAGGCAGACAGACAGTTGAATTTTTGTTTTGTGTTTTTGGTTTCAAAAAGGCCCTTAAATTATCTCAGTATTCTGTTTGAGGCCATTTTTTTAATTGCTTCCAGTTCTTAGAAAGCCAAATGAGCTTGGTAATTGGTTTGAATGCTGCGCTGATTAGTGGGTTGTGAATTAGTGGGTTTATCAATTGATCACATATTAAGAGCTATACAAATTCTTAATTGGCTAATTGAAGAGAAACTCAATTAGCCAATAAATCCATTTTAACTAGGGACTGGACACTCCTCCAAACACACTGACCAGCCCTCTAGGACCAGGACTGGACACACTGACCAGCCCTCTAGGATCAGGACTGGACACTCCTGCAGACACACTGACTGGCCCTCCAGGACCAGGACTGGGAATCATCCATCAATTTTCCTGCAGACACAGGTCTTCCACTTGTGGGTCACAGGGGAACCAGAGTCTATCCCACCAAGCAATGGACAGAACGCCAGGCCATCGCAGACACACACACACACTCACACCAGGGCCAATTTTCCCAAGAGACGATTAATCTCCAATTATCAAGGAGACCAGAGCCCCTGGAGAAAATCCACATGAAGAAGGGCAGAACATGCAAACTCCACACAGACAGCACCCCAGGAATCGGGCCCAGGACAGCAGAGGTGTGGGACAGCAATGCTGACCACAGCACCACTTCAGGACAATGGTAGTTTTAGAGACGGGTATGGTGTTTGTCTACCAGGCGGTCTTTAATTATGTTACTAGTTATTTCCTGCTCCTTGTTTCATGAGTCCGTGGTTCGTAACATTTTAAGACGTTGGCAGCTGTTTTTTCCTTCTTCATTCCATCTAATTAATGAATAATTGCTTACACTTCTATAGCACTTTCCTGGACACTCCACTCCAAGCGCTGCACAGGTCATGGGGATCCCCTCCAGCACCACCAGTGTGCAGCCCCACCTGGATGATGCTTCCTGGATGTAGCTTCCACAACGGGTTATACGACTTTTCGGCGTTGAAGAAAAGGCCCGTATGATTCAGCGACCAGAGGACGAGAAAAAGAGCAGCCTGACAGAAGCGTCTCTCTTCTCCCCGCCAGCCCAGCGAGCGACTCGCCACTTCCTGGCCGCGGCGGCCGGGCCGGGAGCCACGCGGGTGAGTGGCTGCTGACTCCGTTCTTAAAACGGTGTAAGGAGACGAGCGCACTCCCCGAATAACAGGCATTGTTCTGCAGACCTTACAGATGAATAACGAAAGGAAAGGAGGAGGGGGTGGCCGGGATGTGAAGTCACCCTTTGCCCCCCCCCACCGCGTGTATTATTCCGCTCAAACCGGCCGTCTCTGTCCTTATATGGCCGGCCAGCTGCGTAGCGTCGGCTGGCTGGGCTCCGTGGTTCCTGTGTTTGCGCTCAGAAACGCTGGGCCTCCGGCCAGGCTCCGTGTGTGGGCCCCCCACGCAGAACTCGCTGGCTCGCTCACTCGCTGGGCCTTTAAGATAACCGGCGCTGAAAAGAAACCGTCACCAGTCAGGCTGCTGGAAAAGAAAGCGATTAATCCGGGTTAATCCGACAGTATCCTGGTGTAGGGCTGAGGGGAGGGGGGGATATTGTACCCCAGGGGACGGTTTTAGTTCATTCCGTTACGCGAGGAAGAGAGGTGTGAATCTAAATGAAATCAACCAGTGCTCTTAAAATAAAACTTTAATACTACCGCCACCTCACCCCTCCCCTGTCCACCACCCGGCTGTGAGAATCTTTCAGTCCCGCTGCCTGACACGGGACACGGGCGAAATGGACGGGGGGCTTTACAGATGCGTATTTATGTCGTTTCTTTGTAAGTGCACGGACGTCCACTTTTGAGAAGTGGAACTAAAACTGTCACCTTTCCTCAACAGCTCATCCCCATTCACAAAGCAGCCGCAGACCGCGTGAGCCGCCACAGCTGTAGACTGATTTATTTTATTATTTTTTTTTTACAAAAAGCGAGGCCATTCATTCCGAGCTGTGGCGCTGTGTCGTGGTTAGTGAAGGGGCTCCGATGGCCGCATCTGACCGTGCATGAGCGGGTGAGCGCGGTTGCCTCGGACTGCTCTTGCCCAGAGCTCTTGCAGGGGGGTTGGCGGAGTGCCAAGCGGTGCAATTGATGACCGGGACGGGATTGATACCGGAAGTACGTCACAGCCTCGCCGATCGTACACGCCGGGGAAAGTCACCCCGTGGTGCTGTAACGGTTTTGACCTCCCACGAAAAATAGCTTTTCTCCCAACTCCAGCCCATACCGGTTTATTTCCCGTTACCAAATGCCTGAAAACATGGGTGTCTGCAAATAATGCTTTTACCCGAGGGCTTTTATCCATGTGTTTTTAGTCCAGACACATTTTTATTTACAATGGTTTTTTAGAAAGGCATTGATTCATTTAGTATCCGTATCTGCTCTATTTTCTTTTTCCTCGCTTCTGATCGTTTGTTTTTATGTATGTTATGTTATGTTTTTAAGATTTATGTACTTATTTTGTATTCCGACCATTTTATGACTGTGTTTATTTCTACATCTACTGAAAAGCTCTTTGAGATGCTACTTTTAAAGGCGCTATGTAAAATATTTTAACAAATAATATTACATATTCTAGAAATATACAGTCTGGGGGCACAATCGGCTCTTGGTGCCCCTGGAGGGGTAATTAAACTACAAGCTCAGACTCAAACTACAACCTCGCTAACAGCCCCCCCGGGAGTAAAAGCAGTATCGGTGTGCGCTGGCGGCACTGTAGCTCTTACGCACTGTTAAGCTGTGGCTAAAAACCTTACAAATGACCCAGGCTAAATCTGATTTATTTCTTTCGATATTTGTATTTCACACAGCGACTCCCCGGTGCTGCAGAAGTCTATTCGATGCGCTTTGCTCGTGGTCTCCCAAAACCTGTTTTTTTTTTCATTCTGCTGTTAATGACTTAATTGACTCATCTGTGGTCTTTAACAGGTCTGAGTTAATCCAGTTCTCGAGCAGTGTTTTTTTTTTTTCCTGGGGCGTCTGAGCTCCCTCTACAGCCGATAGCTTCGGGAGTTACCAGCCTTGACGAGTAAGAAACGGGAGAAGAAGAAAAAAACGGGACACAGACTCTGCAATTGGTTACCAGTTAGTTTATTTCAAACACTACAGGTTAGTGGAGCAGCGAAACTACTGCGGTCTACCGGCGATCGAAACCGAGGAGTACGTAACGCGCCCTCGGAAGCAGAGAGGTGATGTAGCTGCAAGAGCTGTTTTTTTTTTAACTAGTGCAAAGACAACCAACAGCGCTGCTGCCCGATCCCACGATTTGTCCGACGAGCACAAGCTATCAGCTGCGACTTTCCCACCTGTCGCAGGCTTTACAGCCGATGGGCCAGACTCCGGATCTGTTTGGAATCAGCCCATTGAACGCGCCTGATCAGGGAGTGGTTCGGTTTGAATGGAATGACAAATGGGAATTTGGATTTGGAATTGGAATGGGTAAGAAAGGAGGAGCAGTGTGCCACACCGTCTGGATCAAAGGAGATGTAGCCCTTCTGCTGCAGTAGATCTGTCAAGACGGCTCTGAGGAAGGGCAGTTTGCCGACTGCTTCAGCTGGGTGAGAAACAATGCGATCCCAGTGTTCAACCCCAAGGCTGTAGTGTCCTTTTGCTCTCTGCTGCTTAATTGTTCCACTGACCTGATAAGCTTGATAAATTGGACAGCAGAGCTTCTTTCAAACTCTGAAAGAGTTTGAGAGAGCTCCACAGAGTTCAGTCCTGTGTCTTCCATCAAAAATGCCTCCTGCGCTATTGACTAAGCATTAAAAATCTCGAGTTTTAGCCACGAGAACCATCAGACACCCCAGCCCTTCAGGAATGGTACTGGACACCCCAGTTCGATGCAGCCATGTATCTGCTTTTTTATCAGATGTTTAATTATTCAAATGGTTCATTCGCAGGTCTCTGATCAAGAAACCCTGGCTATAAAACTTGCCAGACTTTGGATTTCTAGGTAAAAGAAGAGCAGTGCATAAGCCTTCCTGTTGCTCTCAGCCATATATTTCTGATTATTTTATCTTTAAGAATAACACACTGCAGTAAAAGATAATTAGATTGTGGAGGTAAAAAAATAAAACAGGTGATGCTTTTATATAGCAGAAGGGCCAAATTCATTCAGCTCAGTTAGAATACATGCTAAGTAACTGAACCATTCCTCCTTCAACAACAGCTGAGCCACTTTCAGAGTCCTTCTCCCAGCAACGGAAATATCCTGGGCATTAAATGGAACAAGGATACATTGGTTGCTGGCAAAGTCTTGACAGCATCTGAAATGATTTTTGGTGACGTTTGGTCCATTCTTCGTGAGAAAGCAAGTAATAATTTAACGATCTCGACATGATTGCACGTATTTAACAGGGCTCACGCTGGGAGTGAGTTACAGAAGAGACGTCACCCCTCTCTGAAATCTGGACAGTGTGGAACTCTGCTGTACTGAGGTTGACCGCTGTCCGGGGAGCGGCGCTGAGCATGCTGGGAGCCCGCGAGCAAATCGTGGCAGGGAGAGCTGGTCTCGTCACACACACACACACGAAACAATATCTCCAAGTGCAGGCTGATCTAAAGGTATAAAACTGGAATGAATAAAAAAATCCAAGACAATGTATGCTTTCTACGTAGTGATGCAAGCGCAACTATCCTGTCTTTCGGACATCTGTGATCGGACAGCCTTTCAATATGAGACACCTGAAGGATACTTCACTATGTTTCCAGATCACAGAGAAGGACACTCTAAATATTTGAGATCCTGTGCAAATTTTCTCCTTCTTTCTGCACCTGTGTTAAATCTCTAGAGAAGATCTGTCTCTCTTTTACCATCTCAGTTCGACTCTGTCTTTTGTACCCATTCAGACAAATTATAAGCAAATCTCCGAAAGCTGTCACAAAGTTTCTGTTCACAGGGAACCATTTTTCACCACAAATTGTTTGATAGCCTTGATTGTTAAAGACATGAATGATTTAATTAAATCCTAACCCGGTCATGCAAATTGGTACTGGTCTTCATTTTCCAAGTGAGCAAACTACTTCAGAAACAAATGCAGTAGAAGTGCAATTTGCTCATGGTCTGTCCATGGCAGGACACCAATCCATCAGCTCTGAATCTTATTTTCTTCTGGTGAAAAGGAAAAGTCAAGGAAACATGACTTGCATCTTATTTTTCAAGTATGACAGATGTGATCCAGTGTGACTACAATGAAGTAGGAAAGAACAGATGTCTACAGCTCCACGATGCCTTGATCATGTGACCATACTTTTCCAGAGATGTTTTCCCATTAGGTCTGAATGCAAAATGCTCAATGCTGGCCTGACCGTTTCTCACACATTGATTTGTGTATGTAGTGTTTGTCTGCAAATATAATGGGTGATGCAGACACATGGGATTCAAATGACTCACTTGGGCCCTTTCCCCCATAATGTAATCAGTATCTGATGTGTTTGGGTCTGCTCGGTTTCATGCTCAGTGTTGTGTAGCTGCAACATTTTCAAAGCTCCTCAGGGCTTGAGTTCTGTGCTATAAGCAATAGCTGTTTGGGAAGTAGTGTTCTTATTGACCTGTTTCTGAGAGCTAAACGTAAAGCTTTGGTCTTTGAAAAACAATCTTTGGCCCTGCTTTAACACGGCTACACTGTATTGAATCAAGCCTCTGTACTGCCAATGGCTACGAAGCTGAAGAATATATACTGTAGCTCATTCAGATCCCCAGATCCTCCCAATGTGATTCATCAAGAATACAGCTAGTGTTGCCACACAGACCTGCCCCTCACAACAGGCTTCGAATGGAACAGTGTTACTCAGGAACATGGTTCCCTTGATAGTATTCTGAATTACAGCACAAAAGATGCTGCTGCAATCGTCTTTTCTCGCGCATTTGAATCGATTGCAGAGTGTTATTTTATTTTTTTGGTTTGAGAACCCAGGACGTCTGTGTCTGAGCTGAGCCAGAATTTCTCTTTCTTGGGGTTTGGCACATTTGGACTCGTCTTTGGGAGGGTGGTGCTGTAATGCATCTGATCTGGTCCGGACGCCCAGTTTGCGTGGAGCAGCCCGGCGCCGCCTTCCGAGATGAGATCTGTCATGGACTTGAGAGAGAAGGAGCATCAGTGGAACAAGAGCAACAGCACCTGAGGAGGTGGCTCTTGTCTGCTTGGTGCTTTGGCCCCTTAAAAAAGTGAAACGCAAGGAAGCTGTAGGAGTGTTTTATATCTAAATGTCCTAAACCTTCACTTCCGATGCTCTTTACTTATCAGTCAGCCACTGCTGGATGCAAACATTTGCAACCCAGCACTGGACCAATGCTGCAGTTGTTATCCTCGTTATTTTCCTATTTTTTCATCCTTCCTCTTATCTCTAGGATACGTTGGGCGCCGACTCCTTCTGCCTTCCAGACGTCTGCTTCCAAAGTCCTGCCTACTCTTCTCCAGAGGACCAGGAGTCCCCTTCCTCCAGGGAATCCACTGAGCGTCTGTCCTCGGTCTCCGTGCTTCCGTAGAGGAGCCCCTTGATCGCTGGCTGCCCTCCCAGCTGTGCGGAAATGGACTGGGTCCCTTGGGTGGCCCCATCCGCCTCCGTGCGCTCGTCTGCTCCCTTCTTGGACGGGGGGGAGGATTTCGGCTCCCGCTGTTGATCCAGGTGAAGGTCCCCCTGGAAGAGCCGATGCTCGTCGTGGCCGAGAAGGCCCCCCCCCCCCGCGGCTTCGATCTCCTCGGCCGGGCTCCAGGGGTTGCCGTTCACGTGGGAGCGGAAAAGGTCGCCCGGTCCTCTGTGATCTCCGTTGGCTGTAGGCAATGTCACGGGCTCGTCGGCATCCACGTCCAACAGGTCATCCTCCTGGGCAGGGCAGCTCGGGAAGCCTCCGGAGGGCTGGGCCGTGCCCTTCACGTCCTGGGCTGCGACTTCCACGCTGGGAAAACCCTGGATGCTTTCACCGGCAGCTCTCGATCCCACGTGGAACTCTACAGCCCCCCATGGATTTGGATCTGGGTTTTCCAGGACCTCCCATTCTTCCTGTTCCGGCTTGTCGCTTTCCGCCCGCGCCTTCCCGCCGAAGTCATCGCCCCCCTGCCCTTCGCTGTTCAAGGGGAGGGCGCTGGAGGGCGCTGCCTCTGCGCAGATCTCCTCTGTGTCTTCGGTGGCTCCGGCGTCCGGTGGCCCACCGGTGAAAGAGCCTAAGGCGTCTCCCCCTTTGCCGAACGTCTGTGAAAACCGGCTGACGTTGGGCGACTCGTCGTCGGAGCTGCACGAGCCTTCCGACTCCGAGTGGGCCAGAGCGACAGTGTCCGGGGTGCTGCTGAGCTCGCTGGCCAAAGACAGCTGCTCGGTGGAGTCCACGTTGGTGAGCATGGACAGGTTTTGTCCTTCTTCCTGTTTCTCTTCCACGCTCTGGTCTGGATGGGGCTCGACAGCTTCCGTCTTTTCCAAAGCTCCTGAAACATCAGCGTCAACATCCGACCTGGCTGAGGCTTGATGCAAAGGGGCTGGTTTCACATCTTCTGTGCGATTGTCTTCATCAGAGGACACATCCAAATGTTCTTCCGCTGTCAGATCTTCTGTTTTGGAGGGCAGCTGAGTTGTGACTACATTTTCTACGTGCACGTGTTTCATTTCTGCCTCCTCATCAGACTGGTCGTCATCGTCACTGTCTGGTTTGGCCCGTAAGTCTTCATCACACTGGTTGTCATCGTCACTGTCT